TCAGTTTATTAAAAGATAGAACTGTAGGCAATTACTATCAGAAAATGTTTGGAAAAGGTTTTATAAAGACTATTTGCTAGAACTAAGATCAATCAAGTTTTCAAAAACTCCCACCTTTAAAATTAATGATGATGTACTTGTATAAGAAGAATATGTGAAATGAAGTAATGGGAAGTTAGGTAGGATTAAAGAATTATCTCCTGAAAGTAATGGTAGAATTAGATCTTGTGAGATTCAATTAGATAAGAGTGTTGTTAGAAGACCAATTGAAAGACCTTTATAACCTTAAAATTCAGTAAAATTGATCTATCTGTGAGTATTTTATATATATATAAGTTTTTATGAATATATTTTCTCAGCTGGCCAATAGATGGCAGTAGTGTTTATCTTTAAAAGAAACTGTGATGTCATATTTTTTTATATGTAGTAGTAGTTTGTCTTTGTTGCATAGAATAATGCTCTCTGTTTATTAATTTAAATTCAATCGAGTCTGATTTATTACAGATTTATACATTTTGTTTACTCACCAACTATTTTTGTTGAGCACATTAATACTAAAAACAAAAAGATAATTATGCAGCAGTAGGTGTATAAAATGATTCCAACTTCTGTGAGGACTAGCATTTCATACCGTGCTCTCCACAGTTTAGAATTGCCACATTAATATATTTTACTTTGAATTATTTCATATAAAATTAATTTCATTTATATGAATTCAAGAGAAAAGTAAAATTTCTTATAACTTTTGTGCTAGTAGTTAATAGTTAGTCCGCATAGCTGTGGAAACAGGTGAAAACATGCTAGTTGTTCGTCACACAGAGCCCAACACAATATGAGCTTCTCATATTCCCAAAATCCAACTACTTTTCAATAGGCACAGTTTCAAATGAGTTAAAATAATGTTCTTTTTAATGCTTTGAGTCTTAGATAAAAACAAACTTGAAAATATTAATGTATAAAATGTTTTGGGACTAGTCCACTGATGGCACACAGCTGATATACTAATGGATGCAAGCCAACATTCTTCTGAAATTGACAAAATTCTCATAAGTACAAATTTCTCATAAGTGGTGTTCCTGCAAATTCAAGAACTATAAGGAGAAGGCTATCAGACTCTGGACTCAGAGATAAGATTTCAAACAAAGAATAATTTCTTAATTTACAAGAGTGCAACAGAACTGAGCAAAAGAATATACTAACTGGACAGATGACCAAAGACACTATATTCTTTAGCCTGATGAGAATAAGACATCATTATACAGAAGTGATGGTTGAAAATACGTGCTACACAGTATGAGAAGAGCTGCATTTTGACTTTTTTCAGACAAATGTAAAGCGCCTACTAGAAGAAGGATATGTTCATGTATGTCAGCAAACAGCTACCAATAACAGAAAGCACACTAAATGCAAAAAAATATATGGACTCTATCCTAGAACACGAACTGCTACTTCCGTTAGTGATATCTTTCTCAATAATGAAATTTCTCTTGTTTTCAATAGATATAATGTTTAAATAATGAATCACATGAAATTTCATCTGCTTTTCCAATCTTAGAATTTAGTTCCCTGCCATGCAGAAATTTTATGTGAACAATGATTCAATATAAAATGTATTCAGTTATTGCCCTGGCTAGGAAACAGGCCTGAACTAAAACTCGATATAAAATCTACAGTATTATTTGAAAGATCTTGAACAACTAAATCATATTTCATCAAATAAAAGATAAAAAGCAAAGGCTTTTAATTACAGATTTGCATTACATAATAAGAAAAGAACAGCTTTCATTATTACATAATGCCAAAATGTATGACTTTATGACTTTATTAATTGCCTTTGTAAGCTCAATGAGACAATGCTGCGATGTTGTTACCAGAAGTAAAGGCTTTCCTACTAACTTTTTTGTTTTAAATGACTGGGCACTTTATTTAATAGCGATTGGTCTTGCGCCACTACAGTAGCTGGAAATGATGGCCATTTCATTATGGAAGCTAATAGGTGGCTACTGTTGCTTCCTATGAAGAGATAGACAGTTACAACCAAGCTTTCCTCTGGGATTCAAACCCCGGCCCATCAATATAGCAGTCAGTATCACTAACCATTATACCAGCTGGGTGGCACTTTCCTACTAACTACTGAATGGAATAAAATATTCAAAGAGACTGCATCATTTATGGCAATTTTTTTTCACATTAAATGTATCTGAATGCTTTCTCCCCAATTCAGCATTAAATGATCTATTAAATTATACATAATTGCCTCAAAAGAACTCAACACTGACTTAAACTTGACTTTTATAATGCATGATTGACATTATTGAATTATTTATAATATGATTCTGATGTAAAATATATTAACATTTAATTAGATATTTTAAATGTTAGGTTCCTTTGACTAATCTCATTCTATATTGTTCTTACACTTTTATATACTGATAAAAAAATCCTGAATAGGAAAGGAAAGCTTTCATTTATCAAGTAATTTTAAATACAAAGAAAACAAAATAATTAGAGTACATATTACTGTATGAGTAAACTTAGTTATGTACCATATATTGATGCAAGACAAAATACAAATAACTGATTAAACATGACTGAATCTTCATAAAATGCTTTATTAATGTTAACAGTGGATTAATACAATTCAGATAAAATTTAATGAGCAAAATTATGCTGAAAATCACTAGGGCAGGGAGAATGGAACATGAACAAATTAAATTTAATTAAATAGATTTCATTTATTCACAGTAAACCTTTTCTTTAATAATGGCTAAAAATTAAAAACCGCAAAACTCAATGATCTACTGGGAGACATGAAAATGTGATGAAAAACAAGAATCTCCAGCCTGCAGCTGTAGGTGACATAAAAATTTTTCCATTACATGACATCACATTTTTCATAAGCATGCAAATTTGAAAAACAAAAATTTCAATATGTATCCAGAATTTGGGTCATTATTGTATATTTCATACAATACAATATTTGATACTGCAACTAACAAATTCAGAAAATTTCCTGAAAACCATTTGCTTATAAACCATATAAACCATTTTAAATATATGAATTAATTTTGACAGGTATTTAAATACATAGATATGAACGCAACAGGTAGAGATAATAAGAAAAAAATTACAAATTCGGGTACCCAGTATAAAATGTACTATTTATAAAAGGACATTAATTAGCTATCTTAAAAATATATTTATGAATTATATATTTAAACTTTTATGTTTAATATTTTTGTCATTACTATCATACAATTGACAATCATGAGTTTTTCTCCAGCAGAATGAATTTTTATGGTTGAGCTTTACTTCACAGACAATAATGATAGAAAAGCTGTTAAAGCATTTAAATATAAATTTCAAAATATTTGTGTGAAGACAATGATTTCCCCATGGAAAACTCACTTTGAGAAACACAACATTTACCATCACAAACAAAGTGACCACTATTCCCTTTTTGGCTCAGTTAAAATAGACAAGTTCAGAAATAAAATGTTGCAAACGCCAACAAAAAGTGTGAGATAGATAACACTGTAATCAAATTTATGCTCAATCAATAGTAATGCTCAATCATAAAAGCTTGCCACCATCTTGCAACAAACACACAGTTTTAAAGGCTTACAGTGTAAAATTCTGAATGAAATTTCAAGTGATGCATTACATATAATAGTTTAGGGACGTCATCCATTAAAATAATTTGCTAATAACATCCCTCTTTGGAATTTTTCCAATTTTTAAAATTTTGTGCAGCTTTTTAAAATTTTGTGTGCAACTTTTGGATAAATTTACAACATTTACAAATTGCAAAAATACACCTATGAATATTACTTTCATCTCATGATATCTGACTTTAAGTTCATAAAAAATGAATTTTGCGAGAAAAAAAACGGACTTCCAAATTACACTCATTTAACACACATGTGATGAATGCATGTAATGCACCTTTAATCAGCATAAAATAAATAATTGTATTTATTATTATTATTATTATTTTAGTTTGCTTTGATAATGCAGAAAGAACCATTAAGCATGTGTTTTTTAAATTAAAAACAATGTTCATTAAAAAATTTTTTGTATAGGTGTTTAAAACCTTTTTCTTGCCCTAAACTTTTTTGGGAGGAGCAGATGGAAAGAAAACTTTTGATAAGACAGAAAATTAGTATGTCATCTAATAGTATTTTGATATACTCGATAATATTAACATACTGCAGTCTACGTAATTAAAATAACACTGCAACTCATTCTAATGCATGACTCTTAATTTTAACATACTCCCATATGTAATTAAATTGAAACATCATATTAGCAAATGAACACCATATTAGAAAATTCACCTACAGTCCATTTCCCTCAACGAAACTTAATCACAGAATTTAACATATATTTAAACTATTACAGCATTTATGATTTAAACAGGATTCTATCTCAGTAAAAATTAAATGATTAGATATTAAATGTTAGTTACTTAATATGAGATTTAAAACATTGGAATAAATAAAATGCCTATTAACAAAGAGCTATGTATATGCATGAGTTCACTACAATGGACTTAAAAAATTAATGCAATAAAAATATTAAGTAAGCTTTACATTCCTAAATTTAATATGGAAAAAACATTAAGTAGGCTTCAAATTTCTACAATTCAATAAAAAGCCAATTTCTACAATTCTGATTCAATAAAAATAATTAATATATTTAATACCAAGTTCCTAGTCTTCACATTAATTTTTATCATATGCATATATTAAACATATACACTTATTTACATGATGAGAAAGTTGTATACATGTTATGCTCCACTGGAGGGTGAAAAATAAATCCAATAAATGTGTCTAGTTAAAATTTCTCTTTTATGCCAGCTAGCTACATACAGAACAGGAACAGCCAGATACTACCATATCAAACAAAATTCTTAGAAAAATTAATATATTGAAGTTTCTACAGAATACTAAAACGCCCAATAATTAAATTATAGCCACAGTATAAGAAACCAATACCTTCCAAATTCTGGAAATCTGCTTGACACACAAGGATGATTGCCCCTGTAAAATATAAAGGATTTAAATTACTTGCCCATTACACTAATTAGCCAAAACCTGATACAGAATTTTTTCATTGATGAATTCAAAAACTTTATTTAACCCTGATTTTGAAAATTATGGCCATTTGGTTTTAATTTTAAATATATGAATTACTTTTGTACGGGAATTCCTATTGTATTCAAAAGCATTACTAAGGCACAGACAAGTAAATTGAATTATCTTGAGTTGTGTTTTGAAGAAAAAAAATTTTTATGAGCTTTCATGTACCTTTTTTTTTTTTTTTTTTTTCTGTTTAATAAATTATTATCAACAATAAAAGCCTGCTTTTTCAGTTATTTCATCTTAAATTTCAATTGGAAAAAAAATCCAAAATTTCAAGCAGGTACTTGAAAAGCATTAGATACCATTACAAACAGTATGTAATAAAAACCATCCAAGGGGGGGATGGTTAGCCATATTCGGTTAGAAGGGGGGAAGATATATGTCAATTTATTAAGGAAATCTGAAAACCAAAATGAAAAAATTAACATTTAAACACCAACAGTTTAAAAAACTGATTTATAATTTAAACATTTTTGATGCTAAAAGTGCTAAAAGAAAGTATGGGGATCTTTTGAAAATCCCTCTCTCTCATCCATCAGAAAATGCATGCTTGAATTTTAATTATGTCCAGAGTTAACTTTATATATATATATATAATAAAATTTCATAATGCAACCAACTAATGTGATTTATTTTTTCCTAGAATGAGCACAAAGCAAATCTAATTATTACTACTCATCCAACCAGAACAGTTTGATTTTGAAACAAAGTCAATGCACAATGCTATTTTCAAATATATGAGAGTGCAGAGTACATATCCAAATTTTCTGTCCACTTCTAGTACAAATTTTCTAAAACCCAAGGTTTCATTTCAGAAATTACTGCATCAAATCAGTTTTGATAGCACTACAGCATTATATGAAAAATATTTTAAATGGATAGCTATTCATAGTTTGGAAAGAATGTGCACAATTATAGAAATGGTGAGACAGGAGAATTTCAAAACAGTGTCTATCCTCTACAAACAGTCCACAGACTCTTGAAATTGCTAAAGATCCATAACTAAGTCACGGGGGGGGGGACTTCTTTCTCAGGACCAATTTTTATTTGAAACTGTCAACTATAATATGGTAATAGTAAGTTGAATTTAGAGCTTTCGCCCACCACTTGGAGTTCTATATGATTGATTTGTATTAGAAGGGCCTACGAAAAAGTCTTTAACAACAGGAAAACCAATGGTTACACTTTCACTGATCTTACAGCAAAAGAGGGCCCAGAACTGAAGGACTATGATAAAAAAAAAAATCATGCTTCTCTTCAGTGATGATCAACTTCTGTTCAAAGGATGATCATGCTGAATTTCGATTCAACATGTGATTCTAAACATTTGCATTTTCATCTAAAGACAGCCATAAAATAAAATATTCTTACAAACATTAAAAATATAATTGTTTCAGTGATACAGATATAACGGCATAGGGTAAAGTGATTAATGAACATACTGATATCAGTGAAAAAGTATTTGCTTAAAAATTTTGGGATGAATTCTTAAATTTTTTATAATATTTTTTAGAGGGACAAGAGGACCTGGTTTTCTTTTTATAAATGATATAACAACTTCAGTGAGAAAACTTAGCTGAAAGTATTAAATTAAAGAAGTAGCCAACCATACTTTTTTATTTGAATTCCAGAAAGAATTTTGACACACTTCTGAAAGAGATGTTGCAGAGTAGAATTATTCTCATAGATATCTCAATACCTTGAAGACTACATAAGAAGAAGAAACAGCTTACTCTGACAAAATCTAATTAACGACCTCATAGAGAGAGTGAAATCACACAGTGATATATGATTCTGTTTCTCTCTAAACATTAGGGGGTCACATTCCTATTAATATCATAGTCTTGTTCCTTTGAATTTTTTCTAAGATTCTACTGACACATATTACTTGAATTATATCTGTTTTATACAACAATTTTGAGTCATATGCATTGATATTTGTTTTTTCAGTTTCCTGCTTAAGATTTATTATTCTATTTATGTTTTATGTATCCCCCCCAAAAAAAAAAACCATGCAATCCATTTTAACATTTGCTGACAAGTTAGCACTTTGGATTATTTTAGCATCAGCATATCACTGCTCTCAGATTGAAAAGTGTACAATAAACAAAGCTCTTTTGTTGAGAGAAGAGTTTTTATACATTTATGTATATATATATTATATCATGTTTATGTATATATTACCTATCAATGAGATAAACTTAGATATTTTTAAGCTAGGAAAAATCTCATATACATCACTACCATCATACCAATACCACTTACTTGAAAATCTTAGATTGGCACATACTTGGTTTTGATAAAATGCAAAAAATTACGTCTACACTGTAATTCTTATATATTCATCTCACAGAATAAGGAACTTTTAATAATGTGTGAAACATCCCCCCCCCAAAAAAAATGCACAAAATGCATGCTTATGAAAACGGGAAAATGCACATTCATGATTTTGGGATAGGATTGACTTATATGATTTTAACAAAGAAAATGGCCTTTGAACATAGTTTAAAATTAGGAAAACATTCTCGTATATATATATATATATTAGAAAAACACTTTGATTTTGAAACTAACACTTTGATTTGAAATGAACTACATCATATAAGCTGCTTTAGAAGCAGAAATATGTAGTGATGTACCTATGATTAGTACTGCCTACCTTAGACAAAATAAAGAAAAAAAAAAAAAAAAAATTATTCCTTTAAATTTATATGATTTTCTAATTATCTCCTTAATGCAAAAATATGCATGTACTTGCTCTGTGACTTTAAATCTACATAAGACAAGTTGTCAGGATGAAATGCAAGCAACTTGCCTTCTTAATCAAAATAAAAATCCATTTTCACTCTTCAGGTGATGAACAAAGAACATGCTCTTTATTTGTAGTTTGTGTTGATATATTTTTTTTTAATTGGACAAGGATATATGCACATCTAATGTTATGAATTTGAAGTACACAAATGTATATATATTTTTTCCTATTACTTAAGTTTTACAGTAAAATAATTTCCTTTTGGCTTTCTGAAAAATTTATAAAATATTTACCTTATCTTTTGTCAACAAATAAAACAAAAAGTTATTTACAAATGCATGACATTTACTTTAGAAATTTTATTTAAATTCTTAGTAATTTTTAGCTAATTATTTGAAAAAATTTACCTACAGCTAATTATGCAAAATTACTACTTGATTCAAATTATAACTTATTAAATGCAGTATTGCCAGATCATGCAATTTTCTACAAATTTGCAACTTTTGGCAAACTTATGCTACTAAAATTTATGTTGATGTGAATTTTCTGCAACTCCACCATTTCCTTGTGCTACTTTTTGCTACTTACTTTTAAATACATCATAAAATTCATTATATGCTCATATAATGTATGTTTAATTTAAACAGGTGATCCTAGCTCACATGCACATATGCAGTTCTCAATACTAATCAGTAGTACTTTCATACATTTCATTGACCATTTTGTTTTAAAATTTTGGTGGTTTATGAATACAATTCCAACATTTAAGTCAAACTATAGCTCTTGTGTTATGAGTAACATGCATGCTCACTTTTTAAAATATATTATTTTTATTCAAATGCTTCTTGATTAACTTTAACATGAAACATTTTCCAACTAAAAATGAAATAATTCAATATTTCTTCAGACTATATACTACATTCATTAAATGTAACAGAATATAAAGAATGATGCCTTGGAATTCTGTAGATAAAATGAGATAGTTATTTCAATTATAAACAGATATTTGTACCTCAGCTTATAAAATTTTGATTGAGTTTTCTTTAAATTATATACTACATTCATTAAATGTACATTCATTAAATGTAGTACAGTCAAAAGTCGTTAATCCGGACTCGTCGGGACTTCGGCGATTCCGGATTATCGATTTTTCCGGATTATAGATCATCAGTTTAAATCTGGTAAGATGGCATGCAGAAATTCTAAAATTAAAAATATGAAAACCGTAATTTATGAAATAAAGAACCAATTATGATCTAAAGAGTATCAAAATTTACAAAAAAAAAAAAACTTAATATTTATTTGTTTACTTTATTAAACATTTCTCTCAATGTAAGTTGTTTAAGTTGCTTCATTTTAATGTTACAAACTTTTCTCTTTAATTCTATAAAAAGACATAATTTCTTGTTCAGTTACCAAAGTTCCGCTGTTCAAGTCCCGTTAATTGCTGTGCCGAGAATACCGACTAACTTGTCAATCGAAATTTTTTCGTTTTCACTAACCTCTCTGTCACATTCTTCATGTCTTTATCCATTTTTTTGCAGCAATTCCACTTTTTGTTTGTTTGGACATCGAAAACATACTTTCGTTTTGTAGATCCTTTGGAAGTTCCAGCATCGGAAATTCTACTTGACATAATCGAAAGTTCAAGTTTACTTTTATAAAATTGCTCTTACAGTCTGCAAAAAATAATAAGTGGGATCCAATTCGAAGATTAAGGAACAACGCAATCATTAACATTAACTAAAATAGATAATTAGATAATTTTAGCTTACACCGTCCGTTATACCGCAGGCAAAAAAGTATTCTGCACTTGCGCACACGCATATGCGCAGTAGTCAAGGTCTTACGCGCACGCGTAAAACGCCTGTGCGCATGTGCCGACGCGGCGCATGCGCAGAAAGTTTTTAGCTTTAAGGTCCGGATTATATATCATTCCGGATTATGGGTGTCCGAATTAACGACTTTTGACTGTATATAATTTAAAGAAAACTCAATCAAAATTTTAGAAGCTGAGGTACAAATATCTGTTTATAATTGAAATAACTATCACATTTTATCTACAGAATTCCAAGGCATCATTCTTTATATTCTGTTCCTTAAAAAGTTCCATACAAAAATACAACATAAAGGTCTAACAATCAAT